CCACGGACCATTGACTGAATGTCTGATGCATATGGTACACTTTTCTGGAAACACTTCAGGAGTTCGAAGTCGCGATCTGATTGGTTGAATTCTACAGGATGTCCGGGAGACACGTGTGTCACGTTCTTTAACGGTTCGCGTGGAAACAAATTCTGTGACGCCAAAACCCCTCGTGGAAGAAGAAAGCCGTTGTGTTTACAACTGTGACAATAAGCGCTTACCAGGATCAACTAATCGCTGGATTTTCAAAAGTATGTGAAGTTTGCGGCTCATTGTTGCAGTAAACTTGCACAACGCTCTTGAATGAATAATTTATTAGATGCACACCGGTGTGTTATTGTAGGGAGATCGACATAATATTGTCACGCCCCCAAACATGACGTGGAACAAAATGAACTGTGATTGGTTGCGTTACATGTCAGTCAAACATCCTCTTGGGCGGTCCTTGGCCAAGAAAAGCTGCGATAGAGTCCAGACCTTCTGTCGTCAGTCTGAAGGTCTGGCAATGCGAGACTATAGCGAATGCCACCCCGACAGGCTGATTATGAGCCCGACGCGAAGCGGATGGGTCTTGAATAAGCCTGAAGGGTTTGTATTCGCTATACCCATCCTCTGATGGCTACTTCTAGCAGGATAATGCACCATGTCACAAAGCTCGAATCATTTCAAATTGGTTTCTTGAACATGACAATGAGTTCACTGTACTAAAATGGCCCCCACAGTCTCCAGATCTCAACCCAATAGAGCATCTTTGGGATGTGGTGGAACGGGAGCTTCGTGCCCTGGATGTGCATCCCACAAATCTCCATCAACTGCAAGATGCTATCCTATCAATATGGGCCAACATTTCTAAAGAATGCTTTCAGCACCTTGTTGAATCAATGCCACGTAGAGTTAAGGCAGTTCTGAAGGCGAAAGGGGGTCAAACACAGTATTAGTATGGTGTTCCTAATAATCCTTTAGGTGAGTGTACTTTGTAAATAACAACATTTTCACCAATGCAAACATGATGATGTATACAGTAAGAGCTTTGTTGTGCAGTGTAACGTGCATCATTGATTTCAAAACGAGTTGTCCAGATAAACTCACGCTGTGTGGAAAGATTGTTCTTTGATCGCTTTCTGTATATAATTTGTTCACAATTTAAATAAGATTATTTTTCATCCTACTAAAAGAAACGATGTGAAGTTGATATTTTAGTCACTGGCTTGACTTACTGATGCATAAACAGTATTGAACGATTTTGAGAGAAAGATTACCTGTCTGAACTTGAACAATTAGGCTACACATCAGAAATTGTTGCTTGGTAGCTCGATCGATTTATTTTCAGACGTTCATCGAGGCCAGCTCTGTATTGGCCCAAGTTGAGGAAACAGTCGTCGGTGAAATGTTGGACCATACAAAACTTTGGGAAGTTGTGTCGGCGCATTTGCAAGCCATGATATCTCTCGAGGAAGAACAAAACTCAAATCGCGTTCGTACTTCCTAGCTCATTTTCTCATGGGCGAGCCAAATTCTCTGGGCGGGCAAAGCAGAGAAAGGGGAGGTTACCTATCCTCCGTATGATGTCATACGGAGGAGATTCAAGATCACCCCGTTTAAACTTTCATTTTCTCACAGGCAGAGAAAGATAGCCAAGCTCGGTTTACACCGATTGAAATTTCTAGACACATTCTAGTGCAATGCTAAAAAAATCCACTAGATGGCACTGTGTCTGTGAGCAGCATGCCATTTCAGTGTTCCTTCAAACAGCACGACACAGCGAAAATTTGCTCCTCCTTTGATGACGCATATCGGCGGGACTTTTAAAGGTAAGACTATTTGGTTGACATATTATCGTTTCAGAGGAGTTGTTAAACAGAATTATGTAACTTAATTAAACAAAAATAAGTCTTATAAGGGTCAAATAATTTTTTTTAAACATGCTCTACCAAACGGTTGAGTTGTCCTTTTAAGGTAGTAAAAATTAGCTAATAAAATTAGCTAATGTTGGTAAAATTAGCTATTTACAATGAACAAAAGGGTTAGTGTTGTTAAAATGATTAATTTTAATATTATTCAATTACATATTTGATAAAAAATATTTGATCAATATCATTTTTTCAGCATTTCTGTACTGTATTATGGTAAATATCAAGAATACATTTGAAGAATTAATACCGATTCTGGTGTTACTATTAATTTCATAATTTAAAATTGACTATGTTTGTGTATTACTATATGACTAGCATTGTAAGAGCCATCAATAGCAGCCATCAGATTTTTTTATTGGTCAAGAAAATGCACTTAATATGACTTGTTCTGAATGTTGTTCTTTTATTATGAACAGACGTCTCAACCGTTTGGTAGAGGATTGTATCTAAAATACTGTAAGGTCTAATTAAAAACATTTTTTTGATTGTTGTTATTGTTATCATAATTTAATAAAAAATGCAAAGAAATAATTTTTCCTTTGCTTTTTTCATGGTGCGTACCTTAAAGGGTTAATGTTAAAAAACCTCAGAAAGTGAAAATTTCATGTCAGGGAACCTTTAAGTTGATTCAACTTGCCCAGGCTAACAGTGCAGGTTTCCATAATGAATGAATCTCTTGTCACAATATGAGCACTTGTAAGGTTTTTCTCACTTTAAAACATTCCATCCTGTTTCATAAAATCACAGAAAGATTTCAAAAGACTGGTGTCAAAAGTCTCATTTACATGTTTATAAAACACTTCATTAAATTACCCTTCGCTAAGCCCCGCCCTCCTTAGTTACTGTTGCTACGCCTGTCAAGCTTTCGTGGCTGCCACGTCTATTACAGTGTGAATGTACCGGTGTCAGACATTCCCAAGGAGATATTTAGTCATTTTTGGCGAACAAGTGAAATATCTGAGAGAGCAAGACAAAAGGGACAGCAGTATGCATTCGAGGGATATATCCACGACATAATATGCAACCAATTAGAGAATAATTTCATCAAAATTGAAGCTAAAGCCTATAACGTTAGGTCCCAGCGCAAGCAGCAGCCGCCTCCTTAGCAGACCATTCAAATGGGAAACACACAAATTGAACAGCTATGTTCATGCACAGCAGAGTAAGTGAAATGTGAAAATAATCTAATATCAAATCAATTTAAATCAAACAGCTTATCCATCAATCTAACACCGGGAGAGACGCGATCGGATTGGGGTAAAGTTACAGGCGTAAAGTTAACGTTAGTAGGCCGTCCACCGTCGATTAACACAATGCTGAAACATATTTTAAAGTATGTCAGTGAGCCTCCGTCTTGCCTTTAATCGTCTTATTTTACGTTCAAATAAATGCATTATGAACAAAGAACCGCCATTATTTCCAACCAATAGGCGTTTTTTTTTTTGTTAATCCTGTCGACATTTAGTTGCGAATGGGTCTCCACACTGCTTGATCCACGCCCGGGATTTTTCCCCTTTGGCTTTTAGGTTTCGGGAAGAGAAAAAATGCCACCCCACCGTCCAAACTTTTAGAATACCGGGTATCAGATTTGCACAATCTATACACACAACGCGTCGGCATGTTTGCCTCGCTCGAAAGCTTGACAGACCTCCCGCGCCTAGTTACGGTTGCTAAGGCACGATTGGCCAGTGGCGGTTTTCGGGCGTGGCTTAGCGAAGGGTCAATTACACAAGCATATTCATGTTGGTATAGAAATGAACAGAAATACACATGAGGAAATTAATAAACAGTCTGTGATATTTGAGACGGTTTTATGCAGATCATAACGTTTTCTATCGCATTATATAAATACACTTAGGTAGTGTATGAAAGCATGCTTGGAATGTTAAGAATGTTAATGAGTCATTCAGTTACATTGTTCAGTTTACAGATAAGTGATGTCTGAAATTAAAAACTGTAACAGCTGGGAGCCAAAAAACAAAAGTCGTTGAACTGAATTAATTGCTAATTGATGTTTGCCCTGTTTTTATTTAGTTTTCAGTGTGTGTAGGTTCTGTTTTCCCTGTGCCCGTCATCTGACCCTGTTTTCCAGTGTGTCTGATAAATGATTACGTTCACCTGTTCGGTATCTATTCTATTATCTCATTGGTTCTCCTTTTTATTTGATTATAAAATGTGTTTGTTGTCGTCTATGTTTGAATGTGGTTGTGTTTTCCCGAAATTCCCTGTCAGATTTATTATTAAAGACGGTTCTTTTCCTTTATGTCCTGGGTCATGCGATTTTTGCAACCATATCGTGATAAGATTTTTAGGTGTCTATAAAGAACGCCTCCATGTTAAAGAAATCTAGTGTAAGCGTTAGATCAGGCAGGCCACGTAGGCATAGCTCAGAATCAGCCGCTGCACCCAGTTCTCACCCACCTTCCCCCCTTTCCTGTTTCCCGTTACCAGCGGTATCCTCTGGGTGATGGGCGCTCCACTCTCATTGGTAAGAGCTTTCTCTCAGGCTCCCCAGCTCGCATCACTTATGTAAATAGTGTTTGTTTTAAACGTAAATAGAGAGAGCAAAGTACAAAGATTTATTATACCTTAATCTAAGTTGTAATATTTGGCAGATTTTAAGTCTTGGCAGTTTGATATGAAGACATTAACTCATAATAATTTAATAAATTAATTATTCAGCCATATTAATTCAAGCTAAAAGTTCTATGAACACTGTTTTTTTCTCCATCCAAAAAAGTCATGTCACTGGTTTTCCACTGGAACATCTGGATAACGTCTCGGTTACTGATGTAAACTTAGTTCCCTGAAGGAGGGAACAGAGATGTTACGTCCATATTGCCGTATTGGGGTCTTGAGAGCCCCAATCACCTTTGAGTAGTAAAAAACGGTCCAATGAATATTGGCGAGTGAGATTTGCATGCTGAGCCACTCCGACCCGGACATACGGGTGTAAAAAGCCGGCTAGCACTCACTCATTTGAATTCTTTGGTGCAGTTTCAGATGATCAGTTCTAGTAAAGCTCTTCCCAGTCACAACACACTTGATCTCTCACTTCATCATGTGTTTTCTTGTGCCGTTTAAAACTGTCCAGCCTATAAAAACTCTTTCCACAGAAAGAACACACATAAGGCCTCTCATCTGAATGAAGTTTCAGGTGTTTATTTAGATTTGATGATGAAATAAAATCTTTACCACACTGATCACAGTTAAATGGCTTTTCTCCAGAGTGAATGAGCAGATGATGACGGACTCTTGATAAACGAGAAAATCTCTTTCCACACTGAGTGCATGTATACGGTTTCTCTCCAGTGTGAATTCTCATGTGTGAGTCAAGGTTTCCTTTCTGTGTGAAACTCTTTCCACACTGAGTGCATGTATACGGATTCTCTCCAGTGTGAATTCTCATGTGTGAGTCAAGGTCTCCTTTCTTTGTGAAACTCTTTCCACACTTACTGCATGTATACGGTTTCTCTCCAGTGTGAATTCTCATGTGTGAGTCAAGGTCTCCTTTCTGTGTGAAACTCTTTCCACACTGAGTGCATGTATAGGGTTTCTCTCCAGAGTGAATTCTCATGTGTCTGTAAAGGTTTCCTTTCTGTGTGAAATTCTTTCCACACTGAGTGCATGTATAGGGTTTCTCTCCAGAGTGAATTCTCATGTGTCTGTAAAGGTCTCCTTTTTGTATGAAACTCTCTCCACACTGAGTGCATGTATACGGTTTCTCTCCAGTGTGAATTCTCATGTGTGAGATAAGGCTTCCTTTCTGTGTGAAACTCTCTCCACACTGAGTGCAGGTGTGCGTCTTTTTGGCTTTTGTTCTTTGAATTGTAAAGTTTCGATGTTCCTCCTTCACTTCATTCAGTTCTTGTCTTTGCTCTTTCACTCTCACCTGGTCTAAAATACACAGAAATACAGTTTGAATCAGTTCAAGTGAACCCTTATTTAATAGCAGAAAGCCACAGAGATCAGGGGCCTCGTGTATCAATCTTGCGTAAGCACAAAAACTTTGCGTACGCCAGCTTTCACGCTCACGGTCGGATGTACTAACAGTGAAATTAACGCGAGAATGTGCGTTCCTCCACGCCAATTTCATGTCTGGCGTACGTACATTTCTTATAGTTTTTGTCCCTTAGCGACTCTTACAGGCAATGAAGTCAAGTTGCAAACATTACACAACGAATTGTTCTACAAGTCTATCGCACCACCACATGTGGGAAGCATTGCTATTATAAATTATATAAGATCTATAATTCCGCTCGAAGGGGGTCTCGCCCAGGGTGTAATTCAATGTAGAACCGCCACTGTTTGAGTCTGTTCTTTATTAATGAGAAAACGCCACTGATCTATATAATGACATATATAATGTCATTCTATATAGATCAGTGGTACATGCATTTGCCATAAATACAATGGATACGTTGTACTTTTGGTCAGCTACATTGCATGCATTGGAAAATTAAATAGGTAAGCTATATGTACCATAGTAAAAACAAATGAGAAATTGGTTACCTTCGTGGCAGTCCTGTAGTAAATCCGAGTCTCCCACAGCAGCAGATATACTCCAGATATACTCCTCACCCATAATTGAGGCATAATTGAGGCAACTCAATCAGTTTCTTGCCGCTTGCTTTAGCCATTTTCTTACTGTTTTCTTTTGCCAAAGTGGACTCATTATCATATTTAAATTGATTTATTTAAGGGAGGAGACTGGGTGAGGCGTTGTGCTCATGCATGTGTGCTCAATTTTACGTTAATTAGGATGTACAAAGAGTATGCGTGGGATCCTTCGTACGCAGAGATTCATACATCTGTTTTTTTTTGTGCGTACGCACATTAACAGCTTTGTCTGTACGCAATGTTTTAATATGAATTCAACGCAAGTCTTTGTACATGGGGCCCCAGATCTTTCACTTTTTGTTCTGTCATTCAATTGTTAATATAGTAAAAATAAGTTTGACAACTGCTATATACAAGGTTGATCATTCAGATGCATTTCTCTATCATTTATCATCCATATATATACTGCTTATTAATTCACATCTACCAAAGCGTCAACAATGAAGAATCAAGAATGGACACCAACCTATTTGTTTCTCAGTATCTTCATGTTTTATTCTGGATGGTTCTGGATCACTCATGTCTTCAATCTCCTCTTTAATAAACTCCATCTTTAACAGTCATACAGATTTCAGCTGCTACTCCTGGAGTTTGTCCTTCTTTTGTAGGATGATGGGAATATTCCCAGTATTTATTGGTGAATTGTTGTGGGAGGGGCTTCACAGCGGGTGTGAACTGTGATCACTGTGTTTTTATCCAATCTGCATTCAAAAAGTACAGAGTCATTATGTTAAACTGCTGCTGAAAAGCCTCTTTGTCTCCAAAAGTTCCTTGTTTTATTGGTGTCAACAGGCTGAAACAAACTACAGCATCATCACCTTTAACTTCAGTTCTTTTCTTTGCACTTTCACTTCCATCGTGTCTGAAACATTATGGTTATGGTTATTTTATTTATAAAGCACTTTAAAACTGCACCTGCAGACCAAAGTGCTGTACAATCAGCAGCATAAAACAAACACATAAAAACAACATGCAACTTACAGCAATCCAGATAATAGCCCAACCTCTCAAAGGCTAAAGACAAGAAATAATTTAACACTGGTTTTAAATACATTTAAAGAAGTGATCTCTCTTAGTTCAAGAGGCAGACTATTCCAAAGCCTCGGACCAGCAACAGCGAAGGCCTGATCACCTTTTAACTTTAAATGAGATCGAGGGACCGAGAGCAATGATTTATTATTTGATCTTAAGGACCTAGGTGCTTAGTGAAGAGCAACAAGCTCAGATACATAAGCAGGAGCTATCCCATGCACTGCTTTAAAAACATACAGCAGAGTTTTATATTTTATCCTGCAATTCACAGGTAGCCACCTGAGAGAAGCTAAAACAGTAAAAATGTGATGACTTTTCTTAGCACCCACCAGCAGCCGTGCCGCCGCATTCTGAACGAACTGCAAGCGTGATATAGTGGTCTGACTGGACCCTACATACAAAACATAACAATAGTCAAGGCGGGACAGAACAAAGGCATTAATAACCTTTTCTAGATCTTTTCTCAACAGAATAGGCTTTAAGCGTGCAATAGTCCTAATCTGGAAAAAGCAACTCTTAACCACGGCATTAATCTGCTTATCAAATTTCAGCTCTGGGTCAAACACAACACCTAAGTTTTTTACTTGGTCATGGCAATAGCCTGACCATGTACCAAAATATGTTGCAATATCAAAGCATCTTCTGGCAGGGCCAAAAAGCATGATCTCAGTTTTACTTTGGTTTAACTGAACCAAATTATGAGTCATCCAGCTCTTAACCTCCTCCAGGCATGCCAACAGTGAGTAAGAACCACAGTTCTTTCCTGATTTCAACGGGAGATAAATTTGTGTATCGTCGGCATACAAATGCAACCAATTGGGATAACCGCTTTATGAGAATCACATGGTCTATAGTATCAAAAGCCGCACTCAAGTCCAATAAAATCAGAGCTGCAAAATTACCTGCATCTCGGATTAAACGAAGGTCATTAAAGACCCACTCCGATGAAAATAATGTTTTTCTAGGTGTTAACATGTTCTTGTGGCATTTTTCTTATGTTAGAGGACATATCTTTAGAAAAATAGGCTCAAAGTTGTATTTCTGAGTATTTTTACATTCAAATGGCTGTGAATCAGTAGCAGACGCAAAAATGCCGTTTGAAATAGACTGGAGTTGTGACGTAGTAACTCCACTGGGCGGGGCCACAAGCTCATACTGTGCTCTATAAGTAAACTTAAATTTAAACTTGATTCTGCAGCACTATGATTTATTCTTTGTGTGATAGCTATGAACACTTCAAAAAGGTTAATCTGACTAAATGTTTGGAGCATGTCCACAAACATATTTATTTACTAACATGTTATTAGGAGTTATTGGCCTGAAATAGTCAATTCAAGAGATTACAAAAACAATAACGTTACCATTCTGATACATCCACTTGTAGACGACTAGATCTATGTACGTCCTCTTGTTCCTCGTCCGAGCTGGCATCTGGCTCAAAACTGTACGGCTGGATAGCTCCAATATTGTTCTCCATTTTTGTTGCACCGGTATTGACAGGTTGGGGATGTAAGCTAGCGGGAGAGACAGAGCTCTCAGCAACGGGCAGGGGGAGGGGCGTCTCTGTGCCAACGGCTCCGCCCACAACGCAGAGGCGAATTTCTAATGAGCTACTGCCGCTCTGCTGAAGCGAAGTCCCAGAAAACGGCACAGGTTTTGTGATTTTGGCTAAAAATGGCATAATCATAATTTAAAGACCACTGGGAATGTTTAAAAATAGCTAAAAAATATGATCGGAGTGGGACTTTAACAACTCTCAAGAGTGCTGATTCCGTACTATAACCTGCCCTAAAACCGGACTGAAATTTATCTAAGATCTCATGTTTACTTAAAAATGACATCAGCTGTGCATAAACCACCTTCTCTAAAACCTTGACAAGCATGGAAGTTTGGAAATAGGCTGATAATTCTTCAATTCAAATGGGTCTAAGTTATGCTTTTTAAGAAGCGGCTGAATAACTGCTTACTTGAGGGCTGTTGGAACAATCCCATTATGAAGACTGCTATTAAAAATAGAGGCAATACTTGGTCCAACAACATCCACCAATTCCTTGAGGAGGCGTAAAGGAGTCACATTGCAATCATCAGATGTACGCTTCAAACTTATAATGATGTCCTTAACTTGTGCCACTGACACCTGCTCAAAGAGGTCAAAACACTTGACACTAGCTGTCAACAACACAGTCTCAACAGGCAATATAGGAAGACTAGATCTAATCTTCACTTTTTCTTTAAAAAAAAATGTTTGAAACCTGTCACATGTTTCCAACGAAGGTGTCAAAGCAGAACAGCCAATTGGTTTTAGCAGTCTATTTATTGTTGCGAAAAGGGATCTAGGTAAATTACATTTCTGTGCAATGACATTAGAGAAATAATTTTGCCTCGCACTTCTCACAGCAGCCTGATAGTCTGAAAAACACTGCCTCATAATTTGAAGAGAAACCTGTATCTTATCCTTTCTCTATTTTCATTCAGCCTTTCTGCATTCATGCCTCAAAGAACGAGTATAATTATTAAGCCAGGGTATTGAATTAATCTTTGGTTTCCTAACTCGCCATGGGGCCACTACATCCAAAATATCTGAGCAAACAGAATTAAAGAGTACCAACAGCTCATCTGGGCCCACATAAAGAGAAGGAGACTTAATCACATTCACAAATGAAGAGGAGATATACCTCAGAGAATTCTACAGCCATTGATGACGTAATGAGGCGAGAACAAATCACATCTGTCTGAGGCAAAATTGGTTTGCATGGCTGTCACGGCCGGCTCTAAGCCGCGACAAATGAGGGAGGCAACGATAAGCTACATAATTAACGCAAAACACAATAAACACGTTCCAATAACACAGGCCTGTAAACATAACTTCCCAACTAAAACTAATACATAAAGCAAGCAAGCAAACAAATAAAACAACAACAACCCAAACTAACAAAAAACCAGAGGGTAACCGAAGCCACCCCAAGTCAGAGAACCATTACCTTTTATAACCCTCTGCAGGTGTTTCACATTAATTACCTCAGTAGGACGGGCCTAGAGGCACGTCACACACCCCCCCCCCCTTAAAAAATAAACCCACATACAAACAAAACAAAACACTTCCAACAGGGTACATCCCAGCCTCCTAACTAACATCACAAACTTCCTAAAGCCTATCTAGTCTTCAGTGGCTTGCCGAGCTCGGGGCGACTTTAAACACTGAACTCAGCATCCTCAACAATCCCATAACCAGGACTGCCGAAGAACACTGAAGCGTACCCCCACTCAGGATTACCACCCAAAACAAAAAACAACCCCCCCCATAACTAATCTGGGATGTACACACACAAAACAAAAATTAACAAAACAATAAATTATTAGACTACAGAACTCCCGAATAACACCGATGTCACAGCATCTTCCAGAATCCAATCATCTCCTCCCACCATAATACTCATCGACCTCGGTACCTAAGAGACAAGCTTGAGAGAGAGAAACAGAAAACCAGAAAACATCGTGGCAACACATCATACTCGTGACAGAGCATCCGCAATCACGTTTTCTGTACCCTTGATGTGTCCTGTATCAAGATGATACCCTTGTAAAAAGATACACCATCTCATGAGTCGCTGGTTTGGGTTCTGCAAAGAATGAAGGAATGTTAGAGGATTGTGATCTGTAAAAACCACCAATGGCCCTCCCCCTGAACCTACATAAACCTCAAAATGGATAAGTGACCAAATTAGAGCTAATGCTTCTTTCTCAATAACGGAATAGTTAAGTTGATAAGCATTAAACTTTTTAGAGAAGTACCCCACTGCACAGTCTACCCCATCTTCTGAGGTCTGCAGTAAAACAGCTCCAGCTCCCACATTACTAGCGTCAACTTGCAATTTAAAAGGTTTATCCAGTCTAGGTGCAACCAAAATTGGAGACACAGTGAGAAGAGACTCAACATCCTCAAATGCTCTCTGACACACAGAGGTCCACTCAAATTTGATTTTATCTCGAAGCAGGTTGGTAAGAGGAGCTGCCACAGTAGAAAAATTCTGACAGAATCCCCTATAAAACCCAACCATCCCAAGAAACCTCATTAATTCCTTTTTAGTTGTAGGGGTCGAAAATTGATCAATTGCTGCCACTTTAGCTCGAACAGGACATACATGACCCTGACCTACAACTTTTCCAAGGTAGATTACAGTGGCCTTAGCAAATTCACATTTGCTCAAATTAACAGTGAGGTTAGCCGCAACCAGACGATCTAACAATGCTCTAATCCGACTTAGATGTTCTAAACTACATCGTCTAAGTAAACTGCACAACCTTCCAAGCCAGAGATAACTCGATTCATTAATCGTTGAAACGTAGCTGGAGCGTTTCTCAGGCCAAAACTCATAACCTTATAGGAAAATAGACCTGACGGAGTAACAAATGCAGAGATCTCTTGGGCTCTAGCTGTTAGAGGAACCTGCCAATAACCCTTTAGCAAATCAAATTTGCTAACATAAGTAGCAGACCCAACTTGGTCAATGCAATCTTCGATTCGTGGCAAAGGGAAGGAATCAGGTTTAGCTAGTGCATTTACCTTCCTGTAGTCTGTACAAAATCTATGAGAGCCGTTGGCTTTTCTAACCAGAATACACGGAGACGCCCAGCTGGAATAAGAAGGCTCCGCTAACCCATTTTTCAACAAGTATTCAACCTCAGCCTATAGGTGTCGCTTTTTCTCCAACGGAACACGGTAATAGTGCTGATGAACGGGTTTTGCGTCCCCCACATCAATATCATGATCAATTAACTTTGTCTGTGTGGGAGTATCTGAAAACAGAGACACGTACTCATTTATTAAAT